CTGTTACCATACATTCAGTTACACTGTACAGAAGTATTGTAAATTCCCCACAGTAGCTCATTTGCAATTTCCTGGTCCAAAGTATAAATTACAATCCATTACACTTCCTCTCATGCTTATRTATTTGGTTATAGAGGGACCCTAAATACACATTAATAATTCTAACTTCTAACATACCAGATTCAAGATCATTGGCCTCAAACAGCAACTCCATATTGACACATTTCAGCAATCACAAGAAAACGACCACACAGAAACTGGATCTTACCTTATCCTTTTCATGGGGAAGGAGACACACTGGAGGGAGACAGGAAAGAGACTCAAAACTCTCCTTCCCGTCAGCATTAGTGGTTGCTTTAGTATTGAGTTGGTACAGAGGTCCATCCTTAAGGAGCCTACCATGGCCAACAGCACGTTTGACAGCTAATCGTAATTGCTGGTGAAAAATGGAGGCAGCGCTACCTCCAAATAATGCAGATACATCTTTCTGACCTTTCAGAAAGCGCTCGATGTTCTTCAAGGATGAGCCACTAGACTCAGCCAAGCCCTCAATTGCCCGTTTAATAAGTTTATTCCAGTCCACGTTTGGTTTACCATCCAACTTGCCATGGTTCCGAGGCTTCGGAAGTGCTATTCTCCCAGGATTATCAGGATCCTTGTAGGAGTTGAGACCCTTATTAGAGACTTTTAAAATAGTTCCATCTTTAACACTCAATTCTAACTGTTCCAGAACAGTTTTGCGGTCCAAACCATGCGAAGATGACACGGCATTGCATATCCTCTCCTCTGAAGGACGCTGTTTCTGCTTCTTTACCTTTTTGATTGCCTCCAAAATCCACTCTGTATACAGCGGGTTGGCGAGTTTTACCATGGTGAAAAATTCTGTATATCCATAGAGTCGTTATCCTTTATCCTGATGCTGAACAAGTTTCAAACAATGAGAAAACAGATCCTCAAAAGATGGGAACCAGCTAACCATAGCATACACGTTTTCTGTTCTGAATTAATCCTCATTTCTCAAACATTATTTGTTTTCACACTGAAGAGAAGAAAACAAAACAATTAGAAACTTCTACACTCTTTCCAATAAATCTCACAACAGCTTCACAGGAAGTTTTCCACAAAGGTATAAAGATTTCAGCATTATCTCACCTGAGCTTCTGGTCTCCCAATCAGAAGAACTGTAGGGTTAAGCCTGGAAGAAAACAAGAGAAACATTTTCAAAAAAACAGTTACGAAGAAAAGAAAAAAAAAAAAATAGCAAGCAATGTTAATTCGTTAAACACTTAGCAGTTTTAAGTCACTACAGTTCTGAAATACCAAAGTAATACTTCAGATTTTATCTTCACTACTATTAAAAGCATACTTTAGCACCAAAACTACTCCATACAACCTAGAGAAAAGTGTCCTATTCATCTTGGTCCATCAGTCAGTATAAAATCTATACTGAGTTTTATATCACTACTGAGCACAACATAAATTAATATTTGGGGGAAAAAGGAAAACCACAACAACTATCTTTAAAAAGCAGCAGCTCTCTTAATTTTTGCACACAGAAGACACTGACTGAAACTTCAACAGCAAACAGAAATAATCAAACCTCTTGAGCAAACAGCAAGATACTTTCAGACCGCTTTCAGAAATGTAATCATAGGTCTGTTTCCCTTCTGTGAAGAAAAGCTATGACAGTTGTTCCATAAAGGAAAAAAGTGAAGAAACATGCTGGAGATTGTAAATGTTCTACTTTCAGAGGCCCTAGAAAAACAGAATACAACCTAATTTTCAGTATTGATAAGGCAGAAAACACCTGAGGATAAAGTAACAGGTGACCATACACAGTGTAAAAGAAATGCTTCTGACACTGCTAATTAAAGATGCTGGCGCAAGGGTGTGAGGCTTTACTTCAGAGCCTTTAGTTAGTTACCTTTAAGAAAGCTTTTTCTAAGCGTGGTAACTGTCTGTTATGCTGACGTTCTACTTTAGGAGTACACTGATACACTAACCGAGAAGGATCTGTAAACCGTTTATCACAAGGAGTAACGATTTTCTCCACGGAAACTTTTAGACAACAGCTAAGTCGACAACACAGTTACCCTCCTCTATATTATATTATACTTTCTATTAAGTTCTGAAGAATTTATCAACACGCAGAACATATTTCCATACAGATATCAGACGCAGTAGCACAGCTCCATACGGACGCTACCGAAAAGATTCTGAACGACTGCTGACACCAGAAAGGATGCAGTGCTTGCCTAGAATTGTTTTATCTTGCGAACAACACATATAAAGAGAAATACGGTCCTCTACACTTGCTCTCCGCGCAAAGCGGAGATGAGCTCCCGCGATGCCCCCGCCCGCCCGGATCCCAAGGCCCGGAGGATTCCGTCCCCTGTCCCCAGCAGAGCTCCGTGCGCAGGGCGTTATGTAACCGTCCGGCCAGGCCCGGACGACTCCCGGACGGTCCCAGCGCCGGTGGGTTACTCGCTCGCTCGTTCGCTCGCTCTCTGCGTGACAAGCGACCCCTGCACCTGCTACCAATCGTTCCCATCCTCACCGCGGGCGGGCCCCGCACACGGCGCCCCGAGGACAGCACTGCCTCAGCACAGAAACTCGCACCGGCGAGATCGGGAAAAGCGGGGCGCAGGCCGCAGCCGCGGCAGCCAGCCGGGCCACACGCAGCTCTCCGTCCCTCCGGAGATGAGCAGTGCAGGCCGGCCGGCTCCTCGCACTGGTACGGGTGGGCCCGCGCCCGCCTCAGCCGTGCTCTCTCGTGCCAGACACTGAACGGAGCTGAACTTGCGGACCCCCGGCCGCTCCGCCCGGCTCACCCGCGTCGTGCCGCGGCCGCCGCGGCCCCAGGGCGTGGGCCTGGCGAGCGCTGTGGGAGCAGACGGCGAGGCCGGGCCTGGCGCAGAGCGGCGGCGGGGCCGGAATAGGCCGCGAGCCTGGAGCGCCCAGCGGGCCTTCCCCTTCCCCAGGCCACGGAGCTCGCCAACCGCCTGTCCCCGACTTGCTCAGCAGCAACCACCCGAGCCCGTGCGGCTCCGCCAGCGTTACTTACCGAGGCCCGCGAGCGCCGGGACCCGGGAGGTGAAGGCCGGACGGCGGCGAAGCCCGAAACTGACACGGCGGCCATCTTGGGCCCGGCGCGCTGCAGCGGAGGGGGGGGGCGCGCTAGGTGGAACAGCCCGCGGGGGGAGGGGGTTGGCGAGGCGAGGGAACAGCGCGGCGGGGCGCGGGCGGCCGCCAGGGGGTGCTGTGGAGCCGCAGCTGCGCCAGGGCGGGCGGCAGAGGCGGGGCCGCCGGAGCGGGAGGGAGCGGGCGAGGGCAATGGTGGGGCTGCGCCCCGGGAGAGTTTCGCGGCGCTCGGGCTGTGCGGGACGGCGGTGGCGGCTGGAAGCACACTTGGGGTGGTAGMGGCTGCAGACCCGGGCGTCTCGCTGTGGCTGTGCGGAACCCCGTCGGTGCGCTACCGCGGATTGCGGCCGCCGGAGGCTCCGACCGCCGAGAAGGGGGCAGGAAGATGGGAGGGCTCGGGCTGCCGGGCACGCGCTGGCAATAGATGCCCATTCCCTGGAAAGAAGGAAATTCCTCTCTTAGGCTTAATTGAGCTTGCGCTTGAAACCGCGACTCTCGGCTTTTACCGAAGCGATATGAAATTCTTAAATAACGATACCATTTAGTTTTGAGAGCGGGTGCTCTTTGTTTGTGCTTCTTCATCTGTAATAGGCTGTCAAAACATTAGCTGTCCCACATGACATTACCTTGGGAGCTCTTTAGCTACTTCGGTCTGGCTGCGCAGAGCTCGCTGTTCCTTGCAGACATCAGAAGGGGCCCGTTAGAGGTCCAGCCTTAGTTCGCTCATACCACAGGTTTTCCTCGGCTCTGCAGAGGTGCAGCGTTCCGCTGGCATGTGCTGAAACTTGACAAACATGAGCAGAGCAAACTCTCATTTAACAGCATTCTCTCATAGGTTGTTTCACTGAAAAATATATATAGAAATCGGAATTTAAAGGGAAACGTGACAATATGCTGGCAGAACAGAATTAAATGTTGCTGTTTCTTAAGGACAGCCTGAAAACTGCTCAGTTGAAGGGTACTACCATTATGTGAGCCTCAAGAGAAAACTATGTACAGTCAAAGGGCAGTGCTACGAAATGGTGCTGCCAAAACATTCACTAATTTTATGATGAAACAATTACTTGSCATCTGTAGTTTGCCATATGCAGGAATTCCGATGATTTAACTGTTAGCCTGTGCTGTGAAAATACAAGACAGAGCTGATAAAATCAGGCCATTTTTTTATTTATAATAGTCTATCGAACCAATTAATTTTGCAAGGGTGCTAATAATAACCTAGTGCCAATCATGAAACATAAGAGAGTCTACAGACTGTCACTGTTGTAGAAACAGTGGATTTCACTGTTATGTACTGAATCCTCCTAAGTCTTTATCTGGAAATTGCATTGATGTTTCTATTAGCTTTGCACCACAGCCTTATGATTTTAGACAGCCTCGTCATTTGGAAGTCTTTCAGACTTGAAGACCCCAGAAGAGGTGTGAGAAGATTAATTTGTTGGGAGAATCCAACCCTGATAAGACAAAGCCAGACCTCTGCAGTCTACACGGCAAAAAATGAACTGTTTGTACAGTACTTTGCAAGATAGTGCCTCAAACTCAATTTGCTTCAAGAAATAAGCAACTCATTGACTACATTTAGCTTTCACACCGAAAAACTTATTCTGTTAAAACATCCAAATAATTCGTCTTGCTCAAAAGAGAAATTTCTCACCTTAAGACACCTTTAAACCCATTAAGAAAACACACATTTGTTTAATCAACTCTGTCCCCACAACATTTCTTAAGATTCAGTTTTTTCTTTTCGAAGAAGAGAAGCTGGGAACGGAATCGGTCCCGGCGGGACAAAGACATGGGACGCGGAGACACGGGACACGTAGCGCGTCCGGCGCTGCCGCCATCCCCGTTCACCGCGGCCGCCATGGATCCGCCKCAGCGCGCCGCTTCGGCCTGTGGGGCGTGGCTGTGCGCGGGTGGCCAATCGCAGAGCGCGCTGCGGAGCCGCGTTCTGGCGGTGAGAGCCGGCTCGTCCGCGCTCTGAGGGCGGTGCTTGCGGCAGCAGTGCAGCTGTCGCGAAGAGGCAGGGCCAGCGACGAAGGGGCTCTCGTGGGGTGGGGTCTATGGTGGAAGCGCTCTCGAGGACTCTTCGGCCCAGCCAGGCCCGCCGCAGCCATGATCCACAGCCTATTCCTGATCAACGCCTCGGGGGACATCTTCCTGGAGAAGCACTGGAAGAGCGTCGTCAGCCGCTCCGTCTGTGACTACTTCTTTGAGGCGCAGGAGCGGGCCTCGGAGGCGGAGAACGTGCCGCCGGTGATCCCCACCCCGCATCACTACCTTCTTAGCGTCTACCGCCACAAGATCTTCTTCGTGGCTGTCATCCAGAGTGAGGTGCCGCCGCTCTTCGTCATCGAGTTCCTGCACCGCGTCGTGGACACGTTCCAGGTACGGCCGAGGGGCGTGGATACTGCTGGATGGAGCGGCACGGCCGCGCTGCGGGGGAGAACGGGCGGGCGGCGTAAAGAGTCCCTCTGGTTTGCAGCTGTTAGCTTTTTCTTGTTTTCTGTCACGTAGTTTTTATCCTGCGTTTGGGAGGATATAGACAGGGCTTATCGTAGTCAGGAATTTACTGCCTAGGATTACGATGGAATCGGGATTTACCTGTGCTCACAGGATGAACCTTTCAGCAGTCAGTTTCTGTTCTGCAGCCTTGTCTGCTCGGGGAAGGAGCTTTTTACAATTCACAGCCACGTGCTTTAATCAATTACTGACAACCTACCCATGCTCTTATATCTGGTGATGTTTCTCGGAAGCTTTCTAAAGCAGTGAGTTGCAGGGGTTGCCCCAGAGCAGCTGTATTCCCTCTGTGGTATAATTGACATGACTATCGATTAGCTTAGGAAAACGGTAAAGATGTCTGACTTCTGCCTGCCAACAACAGGATTGTGTGATCTGAATTTGAAATGTCTTGTGACCAGTATCTTGCCAGAGTACAGGAAATGTGCGTGCTTGGCCAAACAAGTACCATGGGAACTTTTGCTTCCAAGATGTCAGTCAGAACTATATTCTGAGTATGTTTTTCTGGCTTTAGGGAGTGGATTGGCTGTTCAGACCAGCAGTGGATCATGTCAAACCCTTAGGTCATGTTTTTTTATGAGGGTTCAAGACATGAATGTGTCATCACTGGCTCAGACATACATTAAAATCTGATATGTCTGAAAGAGTGTTTGTAGTGCGGAACTGGGATTTCTCTACTGTTACTGTGTATGTATACTCCTTCTTTGTGCAGAATACCTGATCTCTTTAATTGCTGTAAGTATCTAGAAGCTCAGATTTGTGTTTGTGCACGTGCGCTTGCTCTCCCCTGAAAGATTCTTGAAGTCCACATAGAATAAGACTACAAATAAATAAAATGTTCTGTTTTTAAAATTGCTGAATTAGTTGGGACTGCCGATGCGGGAATTTACCAGCTTACAGGAGCAGTGGCAGAGGTGTGCTCAGAATACATGTCTGTGGGAGTCGTCCATCTGTCTGATGTGCTTGTAGTAATACAGGGAGTTTCAGTGTTGTCTTGCCTCCTCCAAGAAGAGGCTTGATTTATTACTGTGTGGGAGGTCACTGGACTGAATGATCACTAAGATTCCCTTTCAGAGATCTTTGAGTATTTCTTTCTTTTGCACAGGATTACTTTGGTGTCTGTTCAGAGGTAATAATCAAGGACAATGTTGTGGTGGTTTATGAGGTGCTGGAGGAGATGCTGGACAATGGCTTTCCATTGGCAACAGAGTCTAATATTCTTAAGGAACTGATAAAACCGCCTACTATTCTGCGAACGGTCGTCAACACCATCACAGGTACAGGGAAACAAAAAGTAGATAAACTGGGGAGTCCAGCTACCAATATTCCTGCATAAGCAAAATAGGACACTAATGAAGAAAATTTATGTTGTCCCATACCATTCATGCAGCACTGGTGTATTTAGGGAGTCATGTGGTTTTGGTTTGGTTTGGGCTTTTTTAACCTGAAACAGTCAGATTACATTTTCAGTTACAGCCATGATATGACTTCCAGGACGAGTTAGTTTGATGTGAATTTACACATCCCCATGTGCAGACATTTCCCCATGCATTATTATGGTGTGTTTTAGAGCTCGGTGTAAGAGAGATATACATTTTTGGAGTACAGCGAGTTTGGAAGAGTAATTGCCCTCCTACAAAGAAACAGAAGTTCTCAGGGATTAATTACAATTAAGCCCTCTAAGACCAAGGACTTGTTCTGGAGCATTGCCTAACCTCTGTGGTTGTTGATTCCCTTTCTTTTTCCAGGAAGCACTAATGTGGGTGACCAGCTTCCTACTGGACAGCTCTCAGTGGTGCCATGGAGACGTACTGGTGTAAAATATACCAATAATGAGGCCTATTTTGACGTTATTGAGGAGATAGATGCAATCATTGACAAATCAGGTATGCAAGTTGCGCTGGGCTGACATTGAGGGTAACTTGTCCCAATAGTGCCTAAAGAGAGAGTTAGATTTTCAAAGAGGTGCACCTTCATACAAGTGTGGGAAGCACTATTCATATTTTTACTCTGAAATGTTCCTAACTTGTATGTGCTATTCAGTCAAAAATCTTACAGAGGCACCAAGATTTTCAATTGTCTTTGTATTTGAGGTGTCAGGAGCAGTTCTACAGTGGGGAAAATAGAATATGAATAAAAATTGTGCACAGCACTTTCTCTTTGGTATTTGTGCATCTTAATCTTGTTAGAATTGGGAGCTATTGTCATTGGCCGTGAAAATGTACATTGCTGGTGTCCATTGTTCTTAATTGAATGAAACTTCTAGAGGAATCATTGGGAATGATAAAAACATTGCGCAGGCAACATAATGAGCCATGACATTTCATAAAGAAAATAGATTTCCTTCCTCCTCACTGATCGCTTTTCCAATTTGGGATTTTTTTTTTTTTCTTTTATCAGGGTCACATAACCACCTGTGTTTACTTTATGGTTGCAGGTTCCACGATTACTGCCGAAATCCAAGGGGTGATTGATGCCTGTGTCAAGCTGACTGGGATGCCAGACCTTACCCTTTCCTTTATGGTAAAGCTCAAGGATGTATCTTTACATAAGTATTTTGGAAAGGGTTTCTCAGCCCTGCTACTGAGATCTCAGTCTCATGCTGATAGTAGGTCAGAATCTGGGTATGCCAGACATAAAGAGAAGGAAATAACAGTTGGGAACTCATCAGGAAATTCAGCAACTTAGACCCTTAAAAGGGCTTTTTCAGATTCCTTGTTTAAAAGCACAGGTAATGTGTGCTGGGACAAAGTTTTTGAGAAACAGTGGTGCTTTAGGCGGATATCCTGAAAGGCCATCTCTTTTTATGAGTATGCACCAATGCAAGTATTTGACATGACCCAAGTTGTGTAAAATGAATGAAAAATACCCAAACAAAGGATAGAGGTTATTGAATGCTGCTTTCACATGTCTGAACGTAGATACCCTCAAGGGGTCAAGAACATAGGTAGGCCCTTCATGGATAGAAGATTGGTAAGAAGAGGAGGTAATTTTAGTTTGTACTGCTTTCACAAACCCTGCAACTTTCTTTTTCTTTCAGAACCCTCGGTTATTGGATGATGTCAGCTTTCACCCATGTGTGCGTTTTAAGCGCTGGGAGTCAGAGAGAATACTCTCCTTCATTCCACCTGATGGAAATTTTCGCTTGCTGTCTTACCATGTCAGTGCTCAGAAGTAGGTGATGAATGTAGTGCTGTGAATTACGAGATTTAGATCTTTCTGGCTAGGGACGGAATAAAAGAAGGAACTTTTAAAGATGAGTTGGCATGTTGAGCCAAGTGAAGTAGAGCTGCATAGTAACTTGCATTTTTCTTTTTTTAAATTACATGTTTTCTCTTTGTTTGCAAGTAATTTTTTTCTGGTCAGCCAGCATTTTTCAAAGACTACTAGTACATAGACAAACTAGAGAGGGAAAGAATTAGGCAGTGCGGAGTAATCAAGCTGTTAGTTTCATATGTTTATAAAAAGTTTGGAGATAAGTTTGGTACTCCTGCTGGGTTTTTGCCATCTCTCTTAAGAGAACCACAAGTTCTTGTCCACTGTTTGTACTTTTTTCTAGAAGTAGCTCGCCAGGTACTATTTGGGGTTGCAGCTGCTGAAGAATTTTGTTAGACCTTTGTCTGATTTATCTCTGGTAGGTGAAAAGGAATGGGAAATGCAACCAAAAGCATAAATGTGAAGTTCAACTGCCACTGCACTGCCAGGAACTACTTGTCAGCCTGGTTATGGCATGCAAAAAACATTTCTCATCCTTTGCTCAAGCATCCTGTTTCAGCGGATGTAGTTCCCTGTTCTGATAAAAAAAATAGGATACAGCAAGTTTGATTACAGAAAGTGTAATTAAGACTTGAGAATGGAATTCTGACTTTGCTCTTAGTTCAAACAAATGGGTGTAGGATTTTCTTTTTTTTTTAAGCAAATACGAAGGCAAGAGATCGACAAGGACTTGCTGTTTGTGTCTTTATTCTAGTCTTGTGGCAATTCCTGTCTACGTTAAACACAACATCAGTTTCCGTGATAGCAGCTCACTGGGACGATTTGAGATCACAGTGGGACCGAAGCAGACTATGGGGAAGACTGTAGAGGGAGTGATGGTCACTAGCCAGATGCCAAAGAGTGTCTTAAATATGACTCTTACCCCCTCCCAGGGAACCCACGTCTTCGATCCAGTTACAAAGGTAAGGGGAAAGATATAAATTAAATACTTTTTTAACTCTTCCTTATTTTTCAGAAAATGTGGTCAAGCTGTTCATGCTTACATGAGCATTTCCATGAACACTGCTGAAGGCAGTAGGTTGGGATGAGAACTTTTCTGAACAATTGCATACTAGAAGTTTTCTTGATCCCCAGAACAAATACCTTAGTGTCTGAGTGGATTGTAGTTCTCGTGACTTGGTGCGTGAAGAAAATCCAAGCACTGGTCTTGTATGATGGGGCTTTAGTCTGGTGGATGGCTTACAAATGTCCGTATATCTAGTTGTCACGCTCTGTGCCGCATGTTAGACTTGGTCTTTTGCAAACATTAAGGATTGGTTAATGGATGTTGGTTTGGTTTGGGGTATTCTGGTTTTGTTTTTTGAGCTCGAGGAGTTAACTTTTTTTTTCTTATTGAAAATTTAAATCTGATGGGCTTACCCATAGGGTCTTTAGCACAAGTAGTAGAAATATCATTCATAGTGGGCTTTTGGGGAACTTCGTGGAAAGAGAGGGTGAACAAAGGTCTGAGGTATCTGCTCCTTAATCCCCTGTCTGGCCAATGTAAAAGGCAAGATGCTAAGAAAAAGACATTTTTCACTGAGAAACAATAAAAGCCGTCTTCGGAAGTGGACTCTTCTTTAGAGAGTGTTAACAGTATTTCAGTTTCACTGCTGCATTTTCTGTTTCTTTAAGTTATTGTCGTGGGATGTTGGGAAAATAAACCCCCAGAAACTGCCAAGCTTGAAGGGGAGCGTGAGCTTGCAAGCTGGAACATCAAAACCAGATGAAAACCCCACCATTAATCTGCAGTTTAAAATTCAACAGCTGGCTATATCTGGTAAGTGACTGCAAGGTAAAGAAGTGGAATGTTCTCTGCTGTGCCACGGCTCAATCTGCGTGTAGCTGAAGTAGCTTTGTAAACCTTCTGAAGTACATTCTACCTCAAGCATTTTCTTAAAGAAAGAAGAATTGTCCGCTTTGACTACAGATGTCTGCATTTGTTCTTTCTGGTGGTCTGTAAAACAATTTACCTACATTTCCGTGTACTTCTTGCTTACAGACTGATAAAGAAATTTAGGGTATGGATGTTTGTAAAGAATTATTCTAACAATTAGCAGTTGACAGCTTTTCTCCATTCTGTCTATTGCTTGCTAAAACATCCCCTGTTCTTTCTGCACCTCTAGTGTGATCTTCTGTGTCTTTATCCTGAAGACCTGTCAGCTTTTCAGCTTTGTTTATGGCAGCAGTCAGTCTTATGCTGTGTTTGTTTGTCTTTAGGACTGAAGGTGAATCGCCTGGACATGTATGGGGAGAAGTACAAGCCATTCAAGGGGATAAAATACATGACTAAGGCTGGCAAGTTCCAAGTCCGAACCTAGAGGCTTCTGATAGTGAGGAAGAGCACTTTTCCTGTTTCCCCTGTCCCTTGCTGTTGGATGCAGGCAGCCTCTTATCCCATACATCTGTTTAAGGTTGCTCCCTTGTCTATAGAAGCCCGAAAGAAGGAAAGCGAGTACTCAAGAGTGCTGGAAAGCAGGGACAAGTAAGGTTGACCTGAAACTACCTCATCCCTACCTGAGTCTGAAGTATTTGGAACAACAGCAGATGGGAGAGGTGCTCAGGTCCCTTGTGATTAGCAAGTCAGCTGTGTTAGCGTGTATCACCTTCATTTTTCTATCTTAGAGGAAATTCTAGGGATTTATGGCATTTTGTAATTCCTCTTCCTTGTATTTTGTTTTATCACTTTGGTGATGATACAAAGTTGAATTTCCACAAACTTCAACTCCCATGTGATGATCCAGTATTTGCCTTTCTGTGTCACTGGGTGTTAAGGTGGAGAGCTGTATAGTTCTTGCCAGCGGAACACCTAGCCGTACTGCCTCAAAAGGACTGGAAGAAGCAGAAGAGTAGATTGTTCCACCCAGGATGGGAAGTGGAGAAGCCGGAGATTGGGGACAGTGCCACAGAGGGAAGAAGGGAAGAAGTGGATTCTTTTCCTAGATTTCATAAGGCATCAACGGTCATCAAGTACCTTGAGTCTCTGAATACAGATCTGAATTACATTCATATCTTGTAGCTGATGAGCAGTGGCATCTCCATGTAATTCTGCTTCTTCTCTTGTTTCATCAGTGTCTGAGGGTAGAAATTCTCCTAGCTTCTTTGGGGAATCAGAAGAGACATATAGAGGAACTTTTGTGCAGTCAGCACTGATGGAAATTGAAGCTGTGGCTACAATAAAGATAACCACTGTCCTAGCAACTCACTGGAACCTCTTTTTGCCTCTGCTTGCCTATTGCAAATGAAGGTGATACTGCAGTTCTGCTCACTGATGTCTTTCTTTGAGATAATTGTGATCTTTGTAGTGTTCCTGCCTGTCCTACCTCATTCCAGTTCCCGTACTAATCGGGTGTTGTGCAGATGTATTCAAGCCTACACCAGATTTTTCACTGGGGTCATCTCTTCCTCAGGACCTGTTGCTACATCTGCCCATTCCAGCCTATGGTACATCCCTCTGTACAGCAGAAATAGGAAATGAGAGTCACCTGCACTGTTCATATGGTCTGTAACAGGCTCTTTGGCCACTACATGCCAAAGCTGCATTTTCCCTTGGTAGCAGAACTCGCACCTAAGCTGCTGTACACACACACACATGTGCTGTGTGACTACACACATGCAGCTGTGGACTCCAGCATATAGGATAGCATTCATTCTGGCTTGTATGTGGTGGACACATGCAGTGGATGGGTGGCATCCTGTTTGTGGAATTTCAGGTTCCAGTGCAACTGAAGAATTCCATGGCAGGTGGCACTCTTCTGTGGTGACATTAGTTCTGAGCATTTTCAGTGCAAACAAAACCTTCAACAAGGAGATCAATAAAATCAATATTTACAAGTCATCTGTGTCATTTCAGAGTGGTTTGCGCAGGCTTTGCAAGAAATACAGTTGGTTTTTGAGGGGGGAGATAAATTATGCCAATTGGATTGTGTACACTTAGTGAAATAAATGTCTTTATACAGTTGGTACTGTAAACATCTGAATTGGCCTTTACTTGTGGATGTAAATCTGGCAGGCAGTTGAAACAGCTACCAACACAATTGTCCTTTGTTTTGCCCTTTTGCACTGAAGAGAGAACTTTTGCTTTCATATCAGATGATAATGCGTAGAAATTTAATAGTCGTTGATTCTGTGGCAAAGCAGGCTGGTGTTAAAACTTTTACTTATTCCATTACCAAGAGGAAAAGCAAGGAATAAAATGTCCTAATAAGCCATCCTGAATTTGCTCAGAGAGTTTAAGCTCAAACTTGGTTAATTAATAGGTTCCAAACTGAAAAAGCAAGTAGTACATTGATTTGGAAATAAGTAGCCTGTGCCTACAGCTTTATTCTTTCTATCAGAAACCAACTTCTCTTAAAACCTCCTTAAACAACCATAGTCAAATGTTACAAGCACAGAGCTTAGTATCTGTCAATGATACAGCAAGTAAGGAGGTAGATGAAGTTTTCAGGAAATTAATTCTGTCCCCTTCAGTTCACACCCATTCCTAAAAAAATGTATCTTCTTAAGACATGCATGCTGGTGTCTCTTGGTTTATTCACACAGGGCAGGGCCAAAATTAATTTCTTATTGTACTTAAGACGATTTGATGCAAGGAGAAAGTTTGGTCACGTTGAGGAAAATGAGCATTAGCTTCTAATAACCTTTAATAAGGAAAGGAGAATATTTTGAGCAGATACTCTTCCCATACACTGTAGTTTGTCTTCCTGTTTTACTGAAAGTCATAAGCATCTGGACAAACACAAAGCACTGTCACCATACTTAAAGCACCCAGAAGGAAGCTGTGAGGCCATGATCACAAGATTGTAAAGGGTTCATTTTTCTTTCTCAGAGTCTCATGATGTCCTGAATCCAGTCAAGATAACGATTCACATTTGTATAAACACCAGGTATGTCTTTGCGGCCACATCCTATTCCCCAGCTGATGATTCCAATTAGATACATACGATCATCCTTCATACAGACCAGAGGCCCTCCAGAGTCACCCTATAGAGGAGCAGCAGATTAGTTACTATCTCCTTTTCTCTTTCTTTCGTTTTGCATAGTTTTTCCACCCCCACTGGCTTTAACAGTGTACTAGTGTTTACAGAAATACCATGTATAGTATGCTCACAAAGCAAGAGCTCTTAATAACAATACTTTTACATATGTCACTTTTTTTGTTCCAGACTCCCTCAATGCTCCCCTCATGGAGGGATACACAGAAGAATGTAACACTAAAGTGTCTAACTTTGTATGGAGCTCATTTATGAAATGAAGGTGAAATGCTGAAAAGAACAAAAAGAGGAAGGCCTATTCACATGATAAAGGTCCAAGGGGTTTTATATTGCTGTGTGTAACAGTAATGCAAAATTATTAAGCAGCTGTTTAAACAGAAAGAATGTGGGTTGAATGCATGCCCTCCTTTTTCCTCCTGTCATAGCTGCTTGCTCTCCACCACCTTTCAGCCTTTATACTTCTTTACTTTTCAGTAAAGGGGCACCCCCTTCCCTCTACAGGACGTCCTGCTGAGCATTTTGCATGTTCACGTAACAGAAAATAGTAGGAAGTGCTGGGGTGGATTTTCCTGTTCAGCTTTGTGGCATTTCCTGTATTTGGGATTTTCAGTCAGTGTTGTTCTGGTTTGATTGCTTAAGTGTGCTCTGCCTTCCCTTCCATGAGGGGCAGGGGAAGAAAAATGAAAGAGAACCCACCAGTTCTGTTCAATGAAAGTCTACTAGAGCTGCCATGCAGGCAAATGCCTAAATTCTTTAAACTATTTTCTGAAGCTTTTTATTTGGTTAGCTCCAAGTATAGAAAAAAGAGACAAGGAAAAGAAAAGGAAAAAGAGGAACAGAATTGGGTTTACCTTGCAGGCATCATCAAGGTGTCTTGTGTCTCCTGCACATAACATATTTTCTGTAACTGTCCGGTTGTCTAGATACTTAGCTGTGCACCGACTGGCTGGGAACAATCTGACATGGCCTTCTTTCAGGTGCTCTGAATAGAATGGAGAAACTGGAAGAAAAATGACAATATAAATACATACATATGCCCATATATGTGCATATATATGTTTTTAAAAAGCTGCAATTCAGTTTCCATAGTTTAGGGGAGAGTGAGCAGAAGCTCAGTGGCTAAACTAAAATTTTCTGGCCAAAGAAAATATATTGGTGTGCTCCACTTCGCTAATAACAACAGCCTAAATCTAGTTGAGAGAAAATACTGTTTAGTCAGCAAGCTAGAGAGGTTTATGTCAGCATCCAGATAAAGACGACCAGATTTCTTGGGTGGATAAGTCATCTTTGCATAGTTACATCAATCAGAATGAAGTCACAGGAAGTGTCTGTGAAAATGCCTTAACTGTATGAAACAGAATCCTAACTTTTTAATATTAGACTTGCACTAACAAAAATCAGATGCTCTGTCATACATAGTACTGAGTAATTGGTACACACATGTTGGAATGGAAGAGATTGGTTTGGTTGCTTGATTGGGATGTCGGTTTTATTCTCCTCTATAGTTACATTTGCACAAAACTGGAAGTTGGCAGGATTGTTGTTATTCAGCAGAATTTTGAACAGTTGTAGCATCCTTTCCCTCTCAGAGRGAAAGCAATGCTGAGGACAAGCTTTAAAAGCACTTAAGAACATTTTATGCCACACTTAATATGCTACATCTTTAGGTCTGTTCCAAAATTCCTATGGGTCCAAACTGTGATTAGRTCTTCTATGATGGATGCTTCACAGTTTCTGTCTTTAGTTTATAAATTAGAGAATTTAAAGAAGAAGGAAAAGGAAGAAAGCAAAATAAGAGCTGGGGTGGTGGTTTTTTTGCGTTAAACATATGTCTGCCTGTTCATACTTTCAGACAGCTTTTATTCCTGTTTGTTATAGCTCACTTAAAAACAATTTAGCCAGCCTTTTAATATATATCTGTGAATGATATTTTTTCAGCTGTCTATTCTGCTGATCTCTGCATAGCCAGTGTATCTTTTAGAATAATGCATCTATGTGCAACCGTGTGGTACACCAAACGTTGACAGAAATAGATTTCTGTCCAAATTACAGTATCTAAATGTACTAAGTACAGCAGAAGTGTGGCAGCCCTGATTGCAAATCTTATCTCTTTCCTACCTTATCCATTGTGCCATTTTTTTTTTTTATTTTGTACTGTGGAGAGGATCAAGAAAGACTCTTCTAGCCCATACAACTGACAGAACTCAGATGAACCAAGTTACTTACGGCAAAACTTGTTTTTGAATAACTACTACGTACATTTTGTAGCGCTCATATAAGCCAGTGTGATAGAATACAGATTCAGTGATGCTATAGGCCTGAATTCTTTGAGGGCAGAGGACTCAAGCTTTTGACATACTATCTTCTACTTGCATGTATCTCCTACTTACATTCTTCATTTCTGCCATAACCAGAGATCTCACATTCAGTCCAGTCAGGCAGCTGCAGCTCTGGCATGGGGAGGCAGGCAGCACGGACAGTGCTTGTTTCAACAGCACAGTCTTTTGCATCTGAGTTCAACTGCAACAGAGCTGAAGATGGAAAAAAACCTCACTTCATTAATCACAAACTTGAGCCAACCATGATCTTTCCAGTCACAAAGTCAGAAAAGCTCTTACCAATATCATTGTTGAAATTCTCTGAGTCAAATCTCTGATGCACAGTGTAGTTCTTCACTTGAAACCTTTGTTCATTTTCCTCGGGTGTTGCTCGGGAATTCCTACCCAGCACAATCTTCAATTGATTTGTACTAAAGCTAAGCAACAAGAGAGTTTCTATTCCCATGTCAACTAAAATGGACCCTTCCCTTGAAGATGTGCTGTTGGAACGTCAGCTTGTTCTTTTTCTTTTCTTAGCACAATTACTCCTTTGTTACCCAGGCAGTTTGACCACAAAGTGTCCTGTTTGCCTTCATTTTTGTTCTATATGCTTACAGTACAGCCATCATGGCAAAGCTCCTCTGCTCCTCCCCTTGCTGTTCTGAAGTTTTGGCTGGCTCTGCATGTGTATTGACAACTTAGTTCTTAAGCTGTCTGATACACTGCTGTGGCCCTTAATGCCATCCTACTCCTTTGCCCAACTGAATGCCTCTCTTCAATGCTCAGCACAATTAAGTATAGTCTTTAGTGCAGGCTCACTGGGATAAAGAGGTTTTTTTTCCAAGTCTTATACCCTTCCAGTAAGGCTATATTGGATGCTTCTATTTTCCAGACATTTTTGCCCCCAGAAAGTACTGAATCCCAACTCACCCTTCCTCAAAACAGTGAGCAGCTGATAAAACCCAGCAGGAACTGATCAGAATTCCTCCACAGAGGAAGTGCTCTCCGGGTACTCGACGATACTTCACAAAGATGGCAGCTTGCCATGGGTGAGCTGCAATGTCTGCGTAGGAACCGCCTCTAATCCTGTACTGGCGTTCGCTGCGCTGTCGTAAGCCACAGGTGGCTGTGGATGACAAACCCAGAAAGAGGCTTTTGATTCAGGCACTCTTGCTTTGAGTTTGGGTTAAGAGCCTGTTAGTCATCAGTCCATGTTGAGGCAGCCTGCCGTGAACTGTTTAATGTTTGACTCATCCCTGTTTCCTAGGAAACACGTATTCTGATTTGAAAAATACAGTAAGGAAACCCTGCCTTTCCTGTTCTCCATTTCTGCAATCTTCCCTTCTGGCAGAGAAAAAGGCATTTCTATGAGAGCGGAGCTAGAGAATCTCTTTCTACTCAAAAAAGTTTCTTCTTGGTTTATTTTTTTTTTTTTTTTTTTTTTTTTTTTTTTTTTTTTTTTTTTTTTTTTTTTTTTTTTTTTTTTTTTTTTTTTTTTTTTTTTTTAAACTACAGCTCTTTTTATTGGAAGATGCTTGAGCTTCAACAATTTTTTTTGTCCAGATCTTATTTTACTGTGAGAGACTTGAGTTTAATACAGATGACATGCAGGACAGTAATGCCTCAAAGAAAGAATAATCAGGAGTGCTGGTATCCTTACAGCAAGTAGGCACGTTGCAGTATTCCCATGTGAGCTGATTTCCTTTCAGGACATGGCACCAGGGCTTGCTGTCATTATCAGGATTCCTGCAGCATGGGACAGAGAAGAGCTATTGGTATTATCAGATCTGCAGGGAATTTGCAGAGAACTAAAGGGTTCAGACCTTTGATTTTTCTAGAGATACAGAGGGCCCTAAAGGCACATGAAATCTTCACTTACAGAGTCTGATCTTAGAGAAGCATGAATAGGTCAGGTGGAATAAAATTAATGTTGTGAGTGAGCTTCAATGCCACCGGTAATGTATGTCCTGTGCTTTAATAATCCAYGTAAAAGACGTAAGAGTACAAGACAGTTTGGTGGGATTTTTTTTTTATTCTATAACCAACTACATACCTGCAGAAATTGTGACTACCAAGGCCCAGTTGGTAAGCATCTCTTCTCCAAGCAGTATATAGCTTGGTGATAAGGATTTGAGAATCCCACTTCAAACAGGTAGCTCCAGAACTGGTAACACTGTGGCTGCCTCGGTAATCTGTGCCTCTTCCAGATCTGCAGTTGATTTTCTTAACTTCAATAAGAAAGCTGCGCATTAACTGATGAATGTGAGCCTGTCAGTTGTTCCTACATATGATTTCTGTCAAGGCATCTGTACATTAGCTATATGTATCTCAGTCTCTCAGTGTCATAATTATTAAAAGCCTAAATATGATATAACATCAGAGTCTCAACTTTTTAGGCTACAGAAATTGCCCAAGTCCACAAAGAAGCCTTATATATGCAGCAAATAATGGAAATTCCATGTTCCCTGCACACACCTTTCAAACAGGAGGGCACACTGCAGTGTTCCCAGGTGTACCTTCCCCCTTTATGGATGTAGCACCAAGGTCTGGAATCTTCATCTGGGTTTCTGAAACAGTTACAATCATTATAAAGCTGTTGTCAATAGTCTCATATTGGCCATCTTAATTTGGTACCTTAATCCTGCTCTGCAGTGAAGACATGGGCACAACCACTAGAAGTTAATTGGACTCCTATTTTAATTATGAAACTGCGGAGTACACCGAGGTGAAGATAAGATGGCCAGTAGCTAGGAGGAGTGGACAGCATATTTGTGCAGTTTAGTTCTTGTACAGGAAGAACTATATTTTTACAGTTTTGAGCAGGATTTGAAGCTTCAGGAAACTGAATTACAAATGGAGAAGGGACAAGGGAAAGACTGGGGTGAGAGATATTTACATTTTGTAGTCTGCCATAAACACCCATTTGAGGAAGGTCTGAAGTTCAGACTTGTCTATAGATGTTGCAATTACTGCTCATAGGCTGCACAGCATGGGCAGCTGTTCGGAGTGTTCTCTGCTTGGTATCAGACTATAACAAATAGCCATTCTTTTGCTCCAAGGTCTTAGAATGGGCTGATATCTGTGGCTCTGACCTGTGTGCCATCAGCCCCTCACCTGCAATAATTGTGATTGCCCAGTCCCAGCTCAGCAGCATCCTCTCTTTGGCCACTGTACGTCCAGTCCACCAAGCCATTGCTATTCCAATTTAAACATTCACTTCCACTCTCTGTCATGCTCCATGTACCCCTGTATGTTACTCCAGTGTCTTTGTAGCATTTAACTTCAGTATCTGAACAAAAGGGAACAAAAGGTTTCTGTAAGGACAGCATCCCAATTCTTTCCCAGACAGCTTCCCCAGTTTTTGGTCCATTTATACTTGGCTCTCAGATGTCTACTGACATATTGTTGTCCAGGAAGTCAGTGAAAATGCCTTGCAGGAGGACTGTAAGTGTATATGAAGGTATTCAGCAACAAAATTCAGAGTTTAATTAAGAAACACTGAGAACAACCCAGGTGTCCTTAGAACATCTTCATAATATTAACTTTATAATAAAAAAGACAACTTAATAGAGAGCCTGATGTACAGCAGGGGCTTCTGGGTACCTCATCCTTGTGCATAACTGCATAACTAAAACCTGTAGCATTGTTTACAGCGGTTGATGTGGTATACTCACCTACTTCACACTGTTTCCCTGAGAAACCCTGGTGGCACTGGCAGATGAAAAGCTGTGGGGAATAAAATGCCTGCAAACATTGGCCCCCATTGTAGCATTTATTTCTAGTGCAGGCTGTGGAATAAGCAAAAGCCAGAAAATACTGTTAGATTTCACAGAAGCAAGAAGCTGGCAGTGTATACACATCTCTCCTCTCCTGTCAGTCTCCTTTAGGCTGTTTTATTTTTCCCTAAATACCTGTTATTGCCCTGTGCTCACAGCCTTTTTGCATAGTGCTTCCATTCCTTCTTTATTTCATTCTCTCGTTAAATGCTATTAAGAGACTTCCTTAGCCCCTTGCCCCATTCCCCCGCCCCGCACTTAGTCCTGCCTAAGTCAGTGTACACTGGTATTTTCGTTTCTATCCTACTCTATTCCGAGAGAAACGTTCTGGGCAGAAACCCTGGTCCTGACAGAGGAGTTCTTCTTTAGGATGATTAGATGGACAATCTCTCACCATTTCTTTTCTCTTTGTCATACTCACGTCTGACAGGCACAGTGTGGCAGCGACTTCGACTCCTGTCGCACCTACAGTATTCTATTCTGCTCCCCAAAAGCCTCAGCCAGGTCACCCTGTGCTGGTAAATTTCTCCAGATGAATTGTCTGTGCAAATGGCTGTAATCGGAGAAAGGAAATCCTCTTTTAGAGATTCAGGGAAAATACCTGGCTGAGCAAAAGGACTCAATTTTATTTTCGGGAGAATAGTATCTGTCTAATGATTGCCCTTTTCCTCCTCAGAGTACAACTATCCCATCTCTCTCATTGTTGTGCTGCCAAATGTACTATTTCACTCTTCACTGGCCTCTTTTTCTATAAAGAAGAGCAGAGGGAGGGAAAAGCTTTGTTGCAGATGGTATTAACGGTCTGGTATTTTGCCTTCTGAACCTCTCATCCAAATAATCATGACAAAAAGCTTTCAGGCTCTGTTCCTTTGGCATAATTTGCTTTCCCCTCCCACATTCATAATACTCCAGCTAACATGGTTTTACTTAGCCTTGCTTACCTCTAGATCTGGCTCCTCGTTTGAAACGCATGCGTAAGTCCTGCAAGCAAAGAAGGTTAATTCTGTGAGTAACTGCTCTCTCTAAAAAATTGAGAGAACAAGTGCCTTCAAAGAGTCAGACCTTTTATTGAGGTCATGTAAATCAGGGAGGCTCTGAGGAACTGTCTGCCCCCCTTGTCAGACAGTACAGTGAAAACTCCTCAGTAAGGGTACCAAGAACTGTAAATCAGTCCGTTGCCTTGGATTCCCAGGTGACTGCTTGTCCGAGTGACATGAACGTGGGATGTGGGGTACTCACATTGTGTGTGAAGTGATTATGTGCTCTTGGGACATTACAAATGCTAACTAAAGCCTGTCAGATATCTGCTATTTGAAGGAGATGCAAGCAAACAACTTCCAAAGTGAAGTGAACAAGCAGTTATTTTTGCTCACTGACATGCAGGTTCCCCATGAGACTTGGCAGCTTGATTGCCTTTAAGAGATATGTCTCCTGCAGCCAATTAAATGAAATATTTTGGATAAAGTTTTATGGAAGAAACCAATTTGGAAAGCTTCTTCAATTAGGTCACAAAAGAAAGAACATAAAACATGGAACATAAAAAGAAGGAGGAAGGGTGGAATAGCAATTTTTTGAGAAAGACTAAACAAGTATAGAATTGTGACGCATTTACTGAAGCTGTGTGCAGCTTGAGGCTTAAAGTGAGGGGACAAGGGAAACAACGATGTCCAGTTTTTAAGTGAGAGTAATGATGAAGATGATGACCATAGAAAATTAAAGGCTGCTTACAATAGAATTCTTATTAACAGTGAAAGGTGACAGTGAACAGATACAACAAGAATACCCAGGGAAGATTTGCTTGCTGAAATGAAAACAAGCCAGGATAACGCATTACTGGAAAATCCCATCCACAACTGTAAAGCTTAGAGGGAGACTACTTTGTAACATTTTTCTTCCTCTGATTTCTAGTGAGCTAAGCAAATTTTCCTTCTGCCTGATGCAGACAGCTGGAGTCAATAGTAAAGAAGTGCTGCTGAAAATACAGGAAGATGGCAAGAGAATGATTTGATGCATTAGCCTCTTACCTGGCACTGGGCAGTCATGATTGCTCCCACCACCACAAGGAGACATGGGAGTTTGCCTTCCATTCTGACTATCTTTCACATCAGCTCCAAATCTCAAATTGTCTGCAGAGACACAAAATACAATGTTGAACAAAGGAGGTTCACAGTGTGAATGGAGGTCAAGGTGTAAGTTTACTAAAGTTTTAAATTATGAAAATTATTTTTCTATATTTTCAACCTGTCTCTTCTCAGCTATCTGGTTTAGCTGTGCAAACTGGGTAATCTGCAGGCTGGACCCAAATGTGCTTTTACTTGATAAATGCAGAAATCTTACAAGTTAAAGCACACTCTTTTAGGTCTGGAGGAAACCAAGAGAGTGTTTCCTGGGGAATAAGACCAACAGAAGTAAATTTCAAGTACTTTTTCTCTAGGTTGCTGGATGCCAGTAGAATCATGTGCACTATTAGAGTGATAGGCTTGTCTGATGATGTAGTGTAATGGTGATTTGAATGTGTTAATTGAGATTCAGGTTACTGTCACATACTTAAGAGATCTCTTGCAGGGCACAGACGTCTGCTGAAGGGCCAGTTTGTGATAACAGTGGTTTAAGAGGAATTTCCATTTTTTGTACAGACTGCCACTTTGGGTGAGAGCGAAGGCTTCTCTCTTGTGTGGAGGATGTGTAGGGAAAACGACTTTGCTTGATGATAGGTGAGGACAATACTGCCGTGTCCCTTATTTTCAATATTTCTCCAGGTTCTCCCCGAGTGATCTTTTAGCTTTTACTATTATCATATGCTTTTGCTAAAAAGGCAGAGTGTGACAATGGGCTGGCAGGCTACCTTTTGTTCTGTTGTTCTCATTTATTTGTTGCAGCATCTTTTCATATGCCACTTCTATGCAGTCACAACTACACATTATTCCCTCTAATCACTTCAGCAGCGTTACACTTCAAAGTCCTCCTCAATCTGCCCTGAAGAGTTTTGACTTTCTCCAGGTCGACTCACATAGTCTGACTCTTACATCAGCAGTCTAGGTAGAGAACCTTCATTTACCCCTTGTGGGAGACTGTGAAGGTGAGATGTAGATGGGGCAGACACCCCTGCTTTGAACAAGTCTCATACCAGGAGTTCATTTTCTCTCTGCCTTTTAAAATATAACACCTCCTATAAAAACCAAGAGCTGGGAGTACCTCTCCTTCCCAACCACATAACATGTCCATTCCAAAATACTTTGTTTCTGAATCTATAGAACTAATGGCTTTCTTGCTGTTGATCAATGATCTTGATGTAGTTCAAGCAACAGACTGCTGACCCTTGCTGCCTTTTCCTGCCTCCGGCATAAAGTTTTTCTGTATCCCTTTTCTGAACTGAGCAGATGAATAGCGGACATGTACTATTTCTCCTAAAAATATAACAGACTTCTGCTTTTGGGGGGAAAAGCTAAAAACCCAAAAGAAAACAAAAGTAAGATGCTGTAATCTTTGAAGACATTGGAGGAAATAAGTATTTCAAAGTCTGGCTTTGTTTTGGGAATCGTTCACAGAATTTCCTGTGGTTTTGGCCACACTTAAAGAGAAGCGTGTTTAGGGAGAACATGACCCACCCTCCTCCTCCTCTGCATGCCTCCATTATCGTGCTTTGGAACCTGGGGTGAAAGGCACAGTCTGATCTCCTCCTGGGAAGATTAGATAAATTCTCCTTTTGCAGCTAATTCTCTGTGTCTCCTTACCTTTACCATCAAGATATTTGTCCGTAACTCTTCCTTTAAGTTCTTCTGCTTATGCAGGAGACTCCCCCTCACTTAATTGGTCAGAGCAGGAGGCTATCACCCCTTTCCCTGGAAAGCTTCAGCTTTCTTGAAACAACTGAAAGTTAGCAGCTTTACCCACACTATGAATCTCTTGGAGAGCGGAAAGGTAATAGCTCAATTAGTTAACTATCATGGTGCTTCAGTGGGATTTATTAAATTACAATATTTAACAGCATTTAATGGTAATACCATTGATGTTAAAAACAGGAAATGCCCTCTTTGAAGCAGGTGTAGAGTAGTACCTACCTCTCTGCTTTTTCTTTTCTGTATTCTCGTGATGATTTCCTTTCCGTACCAGTCTTGGTTTTACGTTTTCTGTGTCTCTGCTCTGATCTCTCTGAACAGCTCCTGTCCTCCTTGCAGCTTCACTCGAGGGGGTGGAGACTCACTGGGCCGTGGGGCGTGCTGTCGGCATCCCACCCCTTCCCGAGCATCTTGGGGATGGTCCAGGCAGGCAGCTGGCGTCCGGATTGTCGGAGAGGGAGCCTGTGCAGGACGGGAGGAAAGCTGCTTGCTGGCATGTTGCTGAATTTTACAGCCAGTTCATTTTGTTCTTTCTCTTTTCCAGTCGGAGAGCAGATTCGGTCTTCACAACAATTTTTCTCCACTGAGCACACTAACGTTCAGTGGCAGAATAGTACGTATCCTGTATGATGAATGGTCCTGTCCCAATATGCCTCTAGGAGTGTGAGTGGGTGCACAGCAGTATTATTTCTAATATAATCAGAGGTCTGCAATATGTAGACTTAGCCCTAATACTGAGAAACTCCCATTTCAAGCACAAGTGTAGTGTGCTGTACTCCAAATTAAGATGTTTGGCAGAGAGACCCTGACCTTCGTGTGGAGCAAAGCGTGCCCTGAACACAGCCATGGGAGAAGGAACAGTCAGGGGAGCTTGCATGATTAATGAGCAAAGCTTCTAAGGAAAAGCATGCTGAAGGCCAGAGTTAAATGTTCACTGATATAACTCATCCTAGAAAATGAAGATCTACTCACCAGGGTGTGGTCATGATTTACTCAGTTGTCAAAGTGTGGTAGACAAATCTGATGATAATTTCTAGAGCTGACCTTAGGGCTGAGTTATGAAAACAGTCAGTGATGCAATTGTTACAGCGATGGATGTGCCCTATCTACTTGGAACCGATTCACTAGCAATCAGGTTCCTGATAGAACATAGCGCAAGACAGATGAACTGGTGTGTGAGGGACCTCCAAGTTCAGGAAGCAGCTGTGTCCATTTGGAAAGCATGGCAGTGGCTATTTTGCATAATGGTAAAGATGAAATACTGGGTGCTCTGTATGTTTAGTTCTTCTCTTCAKAGAGATCTATGTCAAGATTAACTAATGTATCTCTCCAAGATTCACGGTGTTGGTGATAATTGTCATAAATCTGTTTTAAGTGTAGCTGCATTTGACCATTTTGAGAAAGGACTCCCCGTTGTTGAGAAAAAGATGATTAAACACTGCTGAGTGAGCAGGGGATAATTTCTTTTATTTTTAAAGATAACAGCCATTTGACTTCTAGATTAAAGATGCTAACAAACTATTAGCAAATAGTGGAAAACTCTTTCCTGGCTTTTCACAGCTTGAGCACAACTCAAATTGTCTACGGAGTGTGGTGCCTTTTGTACCACTTAATGTATTTTAGGAAAGCCAGCAATAAAAATGTTTCCTCTCTCAAGCACCATCTACTGGCTTTTCTCTAAGATGATCTTCAGGATAATTTCAGCGGGACTGTTTAATGTCAGTAAGGAAGTGTGACATCATGACACCCCACGGCGGGCCCATGTCACCCCGACGGGACCCTCAGTGCCGGGTGGCTTTGGCAGATCCAGTGCGGGCGACTGGAGCCGCGGCAGGTCTTGGTGAGCATCGTCCAGACGCGTGCCGTTGTGCGTCTTTGCAGTCGCATTAAAGCACTTCACGCCAGCCAGCCCACGAGGAAGAAGTATCCAAACCCGATATCCGAGAATAGCGCTTTGTCTTGGGCGGTGCGGTGAGAAACGCAAGTGGTGCATTCCAGATTGGCAAATTTTGGAGATGCTGTGGGAAGGAGACGGCAGCTTTGCAATTTTACTTACACGGCCCATGAGCTGTACTCTACTCTCATGCCGAGCCCCTAACTCCACGCTGCACCGCGACCCCGGCCATCGCGACTCCCCGATCGGGAGCACCTCCCGCAGCGGCCCCGGGCGGGCCGAGCCYCAGCCCCGCGCGTCTCCTTTAAAGGGAGGGCGGGCGCTGGCGCCGGAGACGGAAGCGCGGTCCCGCGGAGCSGAGCCGGGCCCGCCATGAGCCGCCCGCCCGCGCTGCAGGCGTTGACCTGCGGGCCCTGGGAGATGCGGGAGCGCCTCGGCACCGGCGGTTTCGGCAACGTCATCCGGTGGCACAACAAGGTAGGCGGCGGCCGGGCTCGCGGCACCCCGGCTCGGGGCCCGCGCTCAGCCCAGCCCGTGCTGTGTCCGCAGGAAACGGGCGAGCAGGTGGCCATCAAGCAGTGTCGGCAGGAGCTGAGTCCGCGCAACCGCGACCGCTGGGCGCTGGAAATACAGATCATGAAGAGGTGAGGCGGGGCGGCGATGCTGGCGAGCGGAGCCTGTGGCCGCTCGCGGCCGGGCCGGGCCAGGCGGAGGGGTCGCCACGCGGTGTCGCGTTAGTGCCGCGGGACGCGTCGCGGAGGCGGCCGTGGAGTGCGGATCTGACGGGTGCTCCGAGGGAAGTGGTGGGAGAGTCTGCTGGCCGCCGGCCGCCAAGGGATCCCCTTCCGGGAGCTTCTCGGTCCGCTGGGGGGCAAGTGCGTGGAGGTTCACGCTAAAGAAAACTTCACGTTGTGCTTCGTGAGACTCTTGGGTCTCCCGCTACCGTATTCGACTCGTCTCTCAGCGGTACAATAATGCTGCTACCTAGCCGCTCCTTTGCCTGACTTAATGTTTGTGCCGGGGCAGTCCCTTACGGTGTTGCATTGACGTTTTAAGATGTGGTGGTAAGATTGCAGTTTGGGTCTTTTTTTTTTTTTTTATTTTTATTTTTATTTTCTGGACTGTGGCAACAGGACTGCGTTGCATTCCTTTGGAAGGCTTGTTGCTCTGCCTTCTAGATCTGTAACGCGTATGTTTGAAGAGACACACTGTCTGCACATGAAATGGCAGGAGTTGGAATGAGTCTAGATCCATGAAAGATGCAAATCTTTAGAATTSACTAGTTCAGTTCCAAAAAAGATTTGTGACCACATAGAACTTTGGGTGATTACCAAGAACATGTGAAATTGTTTAGCAGTTGCAGAACGTCACGTGTGCATGGCTAACTTTCGTTCTGCAGACTGAACCATCCCAATGTGGTGGCTGCCCGTGATGTCCCTGAAGGGATGCAGAAGCTTGCACCAAATGACTTGCCATTGTTGGCCATGGAGTACTGCCAAGGTGGAGACCTCCGCAAGGTGAGGTCCCCGGGGTGGCGGCCAAGGAATGGATTAGCTTCTCATCTGGTCTTAGGTTTTCTGTTGAAATTTTCCCATAAAATCTTAATTTTTACATCCTGATGCTTCCGAATTCTAGTCATAGTAGATGTCAGTGGCTTGGTCCTCGATATTACGGTCAGCTTTTGAAAACTTAAATGCTTTATGAAACTCTTGGTGTTGTTTTGGATGCGACAGACACCATGAGGAGTTTGCATATAGAGAATGAGCGCAAGTGTAGGGGATGTGCAACGGTATGTGAACGTGGCTAAGACGGTTGTAGGGTAGGGTGCATCTGTGGCCTATACACTTCCTGAAAGTGATTAACTCCTGTCTGTCATAGGAAGAAATAACACATGATAATTCTAATCCTAAATATTTTCTAACTTTTGCTATAATCGGTCTGCAGCTAAAACACAGACCTTAGACCTCAGATTTGAACTGATACTTCCATGCACAGGGCAAATGGCTAAGGAGGATGGAACAAATGGAAGGATGAGAATGACATGACACTGACTTTTTTCACCTGCTCCTTTATCCTCCCATGCAATTAGACCAAGGACTGTAGCTGAAAACGCTGCTACTGGAGGTCACAGTACACAGAGTTTTGTGCCTCTAGAGAATTTAATTGCTGTTACTGAAATTTCTTTTTATCCCCGAGAGTTTTTGGGACTGTGAGTGTTATTCAGGATGGAAGAGGGAAAGACTACACTCTGTGTTGCTTACTTGCAGTACCTGAACCAGCTGGAGAATTGCTGTGGCTTGCGGGAAGAAGCTATTCTCATCTTGTTATCTGACATTGGTAAGCCATAGCAGTACCTTCAGTTGTCTGAGCCATGGAAGCCTCTTAGCCCTGAATCCACTCTACGAATATGTAGCAGTGACCTTAGTGATTCCATTTTAGACTGACCTTTTACAATCCTGATCGTCTACCAAAACTCTTGGGAGTCTGGGGAGGTTCTTGCCTAGTGGAAGCTAGCCAGCGTTACTACGGTTTATCGGAAGGACGTGAGGGAACACCCCGAGATAGAGCTCAGCTTGTGTCCAGAGTTATGATGCTGACTCTACCTCTTGCACTTAGTGTTTCATTCAAAAGCCACGCTTATTACGAGAGTAAACCGAATCCTTACTGAGCTCATTCTAGGTACTGTTAATTGTGCTCTTAAAACTGGCTTTTTCTATCTCTCAGCTTCTGCTCTCAGATACCTTCACGAGAACAGGATCATCCACAGAGACTTGAAACCAGAGAACATTGTGCTGCAGCAAGGAGAGCAAAGGGTAAGCAGGAATCAGTTGTCCCTGCCTGCAGAGACAAGTAAGTTTAAGAGGAACACAAGTGTGCTTTGTGCAGTTACATGGTCCCTCTGCAAGAGCCCTCAGCCCAGGGTAACACCTGTCTCACATCACCGTATCAGATGAATAGTATTCTGTGTGCAGCTGAGGTGAGACATTGTGTTAGACATCTGTTAACACATTTTCACTTTCAGCTCTTAAGGAGAGAAGCAGACTGTACTGATTGACCAAAGATTGGACGGACCTGGAGGCATAACTGCCGAGTGTGCCGTGACACCTTCAAATTCATAGTGGTTTTAGGAGTCTACAGTAGCCTCCCCTTTCTACTTCTGTCTCTTCATTGGCACTTTTCCTGCATACCTTTGAAGTGCTGAATGTTTCCTCTGTGCTGTATGATGTGCTTTTAACAGGACTTCAGTCTAGCATTCTTATTCTCTGCTGTGTGTTTCAGTTAATACACAAAATCATTGACCTTGGTTATGCTAAGGAGTTGGATCAGGGTAGCTTATGCACATCCTTCGTTGGGACTCTGCAGTACTTGGTAAGGAAGGAATTCAGCTACAAGAGCAGCTGCTGCCTTTTAGTGGGATAGAATTAACTGGTACCAAATTTTGGGCTGGGATTAAGTACTTGTGCACTATGGAGTGCGTTTGTGGTACTGAAGCTAGCAAAGCTGACCCTCTTTTTGCTGACACTGGGTTTTCTGCTTGTAAATGAGAAGCAGGAGTGCCAGTAAC